AAAGTTGTGTTCTTTAGAATAATGGTGAGTGCGCAAAGTCCCAAAAACCCATTAATCCTGAGTATTTTTAAGGATTGCATCCTGTTGCGTATATACAATGAACATATATAACTCTTTCCATCAACTTGTTCCATTGATGGAAAAAATTATATATATATATATATGTTCATTAAAGAGCCGCGCCATAGCTCAAGTGGTTAGTTGCTGGCTTCCCACCATGGCAGCCCGGGTTCGATCCCGTGTTTGGTCAACTGGGATTTGTGGTGAACAAAGTGGCGCTGTGACAGCTTTCCTCAGAGTACTTCGGTTTCCCCTGCCAATCTTCATTCCACCAATTGCTCCCCAATCACCCACACCTATCATCTGGGGCTGGTACAATAGGCCAGAAGTGGTGACAGTACAAGGGACTTAGTCCCAATCCACTAGCAATAATAATAAAAAAAAAAGTTTGTTCGTTAATCCCAAGATTCAGAAGACCTGAACTTCGTTAGAAATTGGTTCTACTTTTTAAGTGGGGCAAACTGGTTTCTTATACATGTGTACCGCTCTGAAACAGCTGTACATCAGAGCAATGTATATGAATTAATTCACCTTTCAAGCAGGCATAAGGTAAAATGTTCATTACATATCAAAATTCAGTGTATTATCCCTCTGTATTCCAAACAGAGCAGACAAAATATACTATAAGATGAGGCACCGGCCAAACAATTAATGTCAAATAATACCATATCTATACCACAGGCCTCCAAGCAGTTTACCATTTGTATACAAGTCCTGAATATACCATTATGTCTGCGGGAATAAAACAAGATTGTAACAACTGACATCATGATATGTAATAACACATGAAAAGTTTTATCCATATTTTACTCCATAACTTTCATTTTATAATAAGTTTATAATTCATTGTATTTTTATACCATGTATTTTATAATGTAACAGTTATCAAGTATCCAGCATTACTATCACAATGAAATTGCAGTTCTATAGTGTGTGAATATAGTAATCATGTGTTTTGCCTGATGATGGCTTTAAAAAGCCAAAACATGTAGCTAGGTAATTTTAACCTTGACCGTTATGTTGTGTTGCGACAGACTCCAATAAAGAATTGTATATAATAACACAACAAGATGCACGGAATGAAAATTAGTACAATCTTCATTACAATTTGTTAGATCTGGGGTTAAGTAAATTTTTATCTCCCTTAATTGGCTCATACTATGTAATTTCTTTCAGTAGGACAAAGAAAGTATACCAGATGGAAGGGCATCTCTTGGAAATGGTTTTAATAGTTACTAATTTTGATGTGTAAGCGGCCTCCATAGTTTAAAGGTAACGTTCCCACCTCATGACTCGTAGTACGCAGGTTCAAATACCTGGCGGAGGTCGTCGAATTTTTAAGGGCGGAAAAATTCAGGGAACAAGTCCTCTGGGAGGGACTTTAAGCCGTGGGTCCCGTGTCGTAGCTTTACGGCACGTAAAAGAACCTCATATCTCCAAAGGAGGTCACTTAGCCAAATTGTGGATGATTCCCGCCCAACAGCAGTCTCTAATACCTCTGGTAGATGGGGGAAGCATTATAGATACCTCTCAGATAGTACAGCCGGTCTCGCTGGCTGGGCGGGACTGATGGTAAGCACCAGTACCGGTAGGATATAGAGACTGGTAGAAATCATAGAGGGAAGCAAAATGGACCAATATAGGTCTAAGTGCATGGGGAAACCCACCCTCTCCAATAACTAATTAACTAATTTTCATGTGTGAGCTGGGATAGCGCAGTCATTATAGTGACTTCCTATGGGCTGGATGACTGAGGGGTCTGAGTTCGAGTCCCGGTAGGGTCAAGAATTTTCTCTTCTCCACATTGTCCAGACCAGCTCTAAGGCCCACCCAGTCTTCTATCCAGTAGGTACTGGAGGTAAAGTGGCAGGGGCGTGAAGCTGACCACTCATCTCCCGCTAGTGCTGAGGTCAAGAAAATGTGGATCTGTACATCCACCCCACCCCCCACATCTTCATGGCGTAGTGCTTGATTAGTTAAACACAGGGGCAACTTTTTTTTTTTTCTTGGCACTACAGCCCCAGTGGGCCTAAGCCTACCTCCATGAACTTCTCCATTCACTTCGATTTTTCTAGATCTTACACATACGGTAGGACTCCTTGGGCGGGTGATCAGCTCATCGCAAGGCCTCTACCTGTACACAAACAAAGAAAAACGCACACAAACATCCATGCCCTTAGTGGGATTCGAACCCATGATCCTGGCTTCCGAGTGAGTGAAGACAGTGCATGTCTTAGACCGCTTGGCTACCGTTACCGGCCAGGGGCAACTTTACCTTTATTGATTTTCAAGTTTGTTTTCATTCATAGCCCTAAAGACTACAATATAATTCTTCACTGGCGTAAAAATATCAAATCTTATATAGTTTCAGGACCTTTGTATTAAAACAAAAATGATGAATAAGATTATCTCAAGAAGAACAGGATTAGTGAAACTGTAAACCCACAACAGAAATTATTTTGCAGCAACACTACACTGTAAACTATTAAATCAAAATGATCATCTTGAAGGTGTATACACGCACAGAATTAAACCTTGTAAGTTTTCAAGAAACCAGTTACCATAATTTAAACTTTGGTGTCAAAATCTTTTACATGCCTAGCTCAAAATTAATTCTAACCTGAATGCGAAGTTTTGTAAGTACATATTTTTGCACTCATTTATATTAAATGATATGTACTGAATACAAAATACACGGTAGATTCAAAAAGTTCTGGGGCAGAAAAGAATACAGCAACATTGCGAAAGGTTGGCTGGAGCCTGCTCATATGTGTATATGTTTTGATATGCATTCCCCCCCCCCACAAACACATACAATTGAACGGTTCATTCACTATTAATTCCAAAAAGTGAGTACCTGTGAAGTATGACATCTACAAAATAAGTTCTGCGATGTAACCATTTCACAATATGGTTTTCCCTAATGTTACAGGCTTGGTTCTAAGAGCCACATAAAAAAGATCAGCTTCCCTTTTTTTATTCATGACATGACTATGAGTGTCTTGGTCTAGTGCTTATCACATGTTGTAACTGAAATATTTGTTGGTCATATTTCAAATTTCCCAACACAATTAGAGATATTCTTCCTCCATCACTGTGTTCATACTGGTAGTGGGGCCCACCCAGCCTCCTATTCAATAGGTACCGTGGGCTCCTTCCTCAGAGGCAAAGCCACTAGGCTGCAGAGCTTTAGTTGACCATTCACCTCTAACTACTGCTGAGGTTATGAATGTGTGGAGCTATTACCCTGGCTCTTCCATACACATACATGGCAAGGTGATCAATTAAGCATAGGGACAACATTACCTTTTTAACCTTTTAAAGCCGGCATATCAAACTCAGTATTGTAAACAAGCCATACTGAGATAATTAGCTAGTGACATGGGTTACTAATATCTATAGTCAGGACGGGAGCAAGAATTTACAGATGCTGACTGTTGCAAATGAGCAACATGACATTGTCTTTAAATCTGTTAAAAATGCACCTCTCACTTGTCTTACAACACACAATCCTTTTCTTCTATTTTGCACTTCATACATCACCAGGGTTTTGGCAAAGGCAATGTTAGGGGTATAATTTGACACATGCTACAGAACACACAATAAGACAATGAATAACGTTTTCTGTTTGACAAGCAAGGAAATAAGGCTCAAGAATGCAAGCTTTCACTACAGTCCCTTCTCACACTAAATGACTCTCAAGCTAAATAGTATCTGACAGGGTGACTTCTCCTTTCTCCATTCTGATAGTTGTCTCCTGAACTAACTGTGGCAACAAGTTAGGGTGGGAAGATCCTGCCAGTCAGTATTCAGGCCATGAACAGGCTAAGGGCTCAGAACACAACCACTGCCCACTTCTCTCTTATGACATGGAAGTACTAGAATGAAATCAAGAACCAGATAGCATGGCCACTTGGTATGACAGGCTGTTTGGGGGCTGTGAGTTTGACACATCTGCTTTAAATAATAATGGTTACTACATGTATCACCTGCTTTAACATTACTACATCTCATTTTGGTCACAAAAATTATTTTCAGTTTTTCATGAGTCTCAAAATAAACACTGATTATTCCCCTAAACAGTATTATCCAACTGGTCTTATAATGAAAATGCAACATGCTTTCTTTGAGGTAGGAACTGAATTTATATATATATTATTGATATGAACTTCATGCTTCATAGGGTTAATGTCACCTTTCACTTACACTAGTGCCATTCATGTTAATGATATACTTTTGTATACTCCTTTATTTATTCACAACCATAATAAAATCAACTTCAAGAGTGGCGAACAACTATAATTTCTAACACACTGCCACAAGTAAACAGGGAACCTTTTATTTATGTTCCATGATAGATCCATATTTCTTCAGGAATAGCATTCATATGTTACAGTACTAACAATACTGCCAACAATGATACTTCTCAATTAACAGGCTTTCCTATATTAAACGAATATTACATAAGTCAACTTAATTTTACCATACACCATATCTGTACTTTTAGTTAAAGAAAGCAAATGGCCTCTAGTCTGATTAATGATGAAAACCTATTCTTAAGCAACCCGGTTGATATGTTAGACCACAACAATACAGAAAGTATGATACAATGGGATGAGTAGGCAATTGAAGCAATTATTAAATCATGGTGCCACAAAATGTTTTAACCAACTCAAATAAAAGGAAAAACATATAATTAAAAAAGAGTAACAGAATAAGATAAACAGCATTTATCACTGGTTGCTATCATACTGAATCTCAGACTTGATCCACTTTGGATACGATTTGTACAACCTCCTGAGCTCTTGTTGCAATCTGTTTGTCATTTAATGATGCTGTCAGTATTGAGACTATGTAGCGTCAATGATAGGATGATTAATGAATATGCAGAAACTGGAGGAATGAGAATTGATAGGGGAAACTGAAGCACTTGGAGAAAATCTGCCCCACAGCCAATTTGTACACCATAAATCCCACACAACCTGACCTGGAATCAAACCCATACTGATGCAGTGGGAAAGTGGCAAATACCAACTTCAGATGACAGATGTGTTCTAGTGGAGTGTTAACTGAAGAGTTAAGGAGGGATGGGAAACTTATTCTTTGTTCTTGTGAAGTGTATATCTCTAATAATTAAAAATAAAAAAAATGAAAACAAATCACAATGGCTGATGGGACCCTTTGAAAAAAAAATCAACCACATACCTGGGAAGCCTGAAGAAAACCAAAGAGAGAACAGTCACTGCTGACTGATATTCAAAGGAGAATGTAAGTGCTCTATCACCAAGGTAATAGGCCCAGTATTCTCATTACTACCTGCAATAATAAAATTCTGTCTCTGTGGACTGAGAATAAAGTGCAGCTATACCCTGATTTATGTGATTACAGTGTTCATGGAGAATGCCATGAATAAATGTGTAAACTGAAGACATTTTTTTCCATAGATTCACTGTTGTGAGCATATAACTTTCAAGAGTTAATTTGCTATCATTTAAAGGTGTGCATGAGGGGAAGCAGAAACACTTTACAGAAGATATTTATACTTATAACTATCCCATTAAATAACAAGCTAACATTGCAAAATAATATCTACTTGCTATAATATACTATGCTGTACAAATAAATCAAAGTCTCCACATGGAAGATAAAGACCGCTAAAATGAATCAAAGTGAGGTACAGGGTATGGAATGCACTGCAGATATCGGAGTAAATAGAGGATGTTGAGAGTGGAAACTGTTATGTACAAGAATACACAAATCAGGATGTATCTGTACTGGGAATATAATGTCAGCCCAGAGATTTCCTTGGATAAAAATGTGAACAAAACTTGCTTATTCACAAATATTTTGAAAAACTGACAGACATCTGTTATTGGTGATGTTACGACTGTTTCTTAACTCACAACATTTGAACACCTGCTCAGTGAATTTCAAGAAATATTTAACCCAAGCTGTTCAGATATTTAAAGCTCATGACAAGGGCTCCCATCCAATGGTAACTGAAGACAGTAATGGAGATCAGCTGCTCCAGTCTCCAGTTTCTCTTAAAGCTCTAGAAGTGAGTCGTTCTATCTCGCTAAGTAACTGCTCAGTCTCTGCATCTAGCTCTTCCACTGGCCTCTCACTGACTGCAGCAAGTGGTGCTTCTACAGGATCCCATTCCAGCGAATCAGGAGTAGAGATACGTGACCAAGCTGTGCTACCGGCAGCACTGTTGCCATTCTGACCATTAGTTGCAGGAGACTCACAGCCATCATCTTCTGTCACACCAGCATAGTGTAGCAGTTGAATGGGTAGACAACCTGTTTATGATATCAATCACATATTAGCATTTTCCAGCATGATTGGAAGTTTCTGCAGTGACTGTACACAATGAAGTGTTCTTGGGCGGCCACCTATATTAAGATGGAGTTGCTACCCAATATTTAAGAGACTGCTCCTACCTCCATCATCAGGGGTTCATGTGATGAGTAATTACATGCACAGAGTATGCTCCTGCTCCCCAGCACAGATGACTGTAGCTGACAGCATACTCCTTGGGTATATACACAGCAAGCAGCCATATCATCATATATCATCATATGATAGATATATCACAGAGGCAGTTTCCAAAGCACTGGATACAAACTCCATCTTCACAAGGCTCATCTCCCAAGAGCAGTTCAATGATAACATTAATACATCTGTAAATAACTACTGAATACTGAAAATTTGGTTTCATTAAAATAAAGCCCTTCCTGTAGGTTTCACCTCATCATGATGGGAGAGCCCAGTTACAATGAATCAAAATGCTATGTCAGGGAAATCTAACACACCTGCCTTGATGACTGGTAAGAGGGGTGAGGAAGAGAATAGTAATCCACAATAAGTAGATGTGAGTCAACAGCTGTAGTGAAGATAACACATCTGAGGATATAACCAAATAAGTTTAATGTAGGTTTGAATGCAGAGAGACAGCAGCACCATCATCAAACTAGTTCTGTGCAGCAAATATAATGTGGCTATATTTTACAAAATCCATTTAGTTGGAATAACGGTACAACAAAGGGGAAAGTGGTAGCATAGTTGGCTGAGGCACTATGCTACAAGTCAGAAGGTCATGTTTTTGAGCTTGATGAGGTCAGTGGATTTTTCAATTGATCTAATCATTCCAGCTACACTATGGCCCTGGGGTTGACTCAACCTCTAACAGAAATCAGTGCCAGGAATCTCCCTGGGGGTAAAGGGTGGCTGGCATCTAAGGCTGACAACCTCACCATCTGTGAGCCAATTGTCTAGAAAATGTGGGAGCCTTGACATCTCTTAACCCTATGGGCCTCCACAGCCTGTTATAGGGGATATTTTTACCTTTTTTTTTTAATGGTATAACGTTTTGGACTCAAAACTACGTATGCATATTTATCCCAGTTACCTAGTGGTGACTTAGCCATGTGGATGGATCTGTGAGAATGGTGTGTGTTACACAGGGTACAGTTAGTTTAGTCCAAGTCACATTGCGACTGACGGTCAGTCAGTAACTGACCCCGGTCTAGAAAACCGAAATTAACTGCCATGGGGATTCGTTATGCTGGCCATGCGATACCCTTTATCCGCTAAAGTTGGCACTAACTTTGCCGACAAGCGGCGGTTGCTTGGTAGTATAGTTTGCTTGCAGACTAAAGCCATTGAGTCTGTTTTTTTTTGTTTGTTTGTCAGTAACTGACCATACAGTGCTGAATAACTAGGTGCAATGAATAATGAATTGGAAAGGTTGTGGAAGATAATGATAATGGCCTAACATAATGCAATATCACAGAATTCTCCTGGAGGGACCAAGAAAAACAAAGAAAAACCTCAGGATGGTTGGTGTCCCACCAGAGATTCAAATCAGGTAACTCCCTATTACATGCCAGAAGCATTACCACTTGAAGCAACTTGCTTGATGCAATGAAAAAAGCAACACTGAAGACATACCTTCATGTTCCCACTCAAGGTCCAGTGAACTGGGTGGGGTGGAAGAAGCAATACTTTTCTCCCTCTGACTAACTGTTTGTAACACAGCTCGAGCAGCCAATAAGGAACGAGCATCCAAGGGCTGCAGTGGAACATCCACAACTACTGGACTATAAAACAAACAATTCAAATTAAAATATTCCAATGCATAATAGCCAAGAAACTTATTCATTTTCTTTTGAATGAGCATGTACCTTGATGACTGTTGCTTTCTAGGTATCCTTTGGGTATATTCATTGCTTGGCAAAGTATCATCTGTCAATTCCAATGTTACCTTTTGGGGAGGCTGCAATACACAAAATAATGATAGGAACAAGATATAAAATCATCAGATGAGTTTAACTGACACCAAGTTCCTTTCTTAGAAACATAATTCACTGAAGTGTACCAAAAAAAAATTGTTGCACTCTTATACTTTTGTATAAGCATTTATATTACAAGTATTCCTATATATGTGTGTGTTGTAAAAATAAATATTTACCAACCTTTTTTCTCCTCAAAGATAGCAAATAAGATAAGCTATGGTCCATGAAAGCATTAAAACAGGAGAAAACCACTCTATTAAGATTCATTATAAAAAAAAATGTTTACCAGATTTCACCTAAATTCTTACATATACATAGTTACAAGTGGTAATGCAAATAAAATTGCATATGATGGTTGATACTTAATTATTTATTGAGATCTTCTCAATAGCATCAAGAACAGAAAAGGGTTCTTTTAGAATCTGGAAGAAAAAGAAATTATTCAGCTTACCCTTTTGATGGATTAGGATCTTGTTGTGGTGATTGCTGAAACACAAAAATACTTCATTATAATTTTATTTTATAAACATAATAGGATGACCAAAGAGAAATGAAGTGGCAGAAGGTTGGGGAAAACTGCATAATGAGGAGCTTCATAACTTATACACTTCACAAAGTATAATTAGAATGATCAAGTCAAGGAGGATAAGATGGGCAGGGTATCTACCACGAACAAAAAGCGGAATACATATAGGATATTGGTGGGAAAGCCAGAAGAAAAGATACCACTTGGAAGAGCAAGACATAGGTGGGTGGATAATATTAAAATGAATCTTAGAGAGATACAATAGGGTGGTATGGACTGGATTGATCTAGCACAGAATAGGGACCAATGGAGGGGTCTTGTGAACATGGTATTGAACAGTCATGTGCCATAAAATATTGGGAAGCTCCTGAGTAGCTGCACAACTGGCGGCTTCTCAAGGACTCGGCTCCATGAATACATTAGGATAGCCAAGTGTCACAGAGCACTTTGTTGCTTCAGACTTAAAAATGACATGTACTGATAGGACCTGACAAGATTAGTGCTAACAGAATTAAAGTATGTATATGACCTTCAAATTTCACAGACTTACAGTTATTTTCACATTTTTGTAAGAGCTCTTTCAATGATTCAAACAAAGCAATATACTCAAGTAAAATGTGCTTATAATTGAAGAGTCTAAAGTTTCTCCATTTCAGACAATGCAATACATTGTTACTTTGTAGTAGATATTTCCATTTTCATCTCCTAGCTATTCATCTGCCCACAATTCTGTTTCATCTGCAGCCCACTGAAGTATTCTGCATTTCCATTAACAATCAAACTTAATTATTTCACATTTTCAAAGGAATATGCCTTCTCAGATAATTCCTCATATCCTCATTCAAGATCATCTGTGAATATTATAATAAACATATACAGAATTATTAATGCACCTCCCTTTCTGACATCTATTTGGTACATTTGATTTTAAGCTTACTGGCCAAGATCTTTTCCCAGGTTAACAGGGGAAAGTGAATTATTTGTTCTCTCTGAAAGCAGCATGCTTGCCCAAAGCATTCCTAATTTCTAGTTCTGTTACTAACTATAAAGCTATCCCTGCAACAGGCCATGAAGGCCCATAGGGTTGAGAGACAATGAGGCTCCTACATTTGCCCTAGACAACTGGCTCATAGACGGTGGTGAGGTTGTCAGTCTTACGCTCTGGCCACCCTTTGCCCCCAGGAAGATTCCTGATACTCATTTCTATTAGAGGCTAAATCAACCCCAGGGCCATAGCGCAGCTGGAAGGATTAGGTCAATTGAAAAAAAAATCCAATGACCTCATTGGGACTTGAATCCATGACCTTCCGGCTTGTAGCATAGTGCCTCAACCAACTACGCTACCACATGCCCCTGTTATGAACTATAAGACTATATATGCTTTTACTGATCAAAGAACTTCTTTGTATCATTCTGAGTAAGATTACAGAACTTAGATGCAATTATTAAACCTTACCGTGATATCATCCACAAGAAAGTCAAACTGTAAAGATCATGTTGAGAATATTAGAAGTGAATATATTATGTGTTTCTTCAACTTAAAATAAAACTTTCATTGGGGGGGGGGGATATTTGATCAGCACTTTCTTTTTACAAATGAAAGACCTAATACTATAAAGAAATTACTACTACTACTACTACTAACACTTCCAAAACCCAGTTCTTTAATACTGAGTTTCTGATATGCATACAGTCTGGAAAAGTAATAATTACACATGTGCCTCTAATTCATATGCATACTGTAATAAGAACTATGTAACATGTGTTCGTAGCATGTCTTGAAAGCTACTAACACATGTACTTGTTCTGGGACCTGTCGAATAAAAGAAACTACCAGAAAGGTGTGAAACACTCAGTGATGAATTTGGTCTCGAACTAAACTGTTGTAATTTCAGAGGAGAAATTTAGTTGTGAAAACAAAATCATTCTCACTATGAAGATATTTTATGCATCCTGCAGATCACAGAGGGAACAAGACAAAGTATAATATATCACAAATTGGGAATACCATACGGTTACAAAGCATTTAGCACACACAAGCTACCACAGCAGATTAAATCAAGTATACAATTACACTATTACCAACTGCAAAGCAATTTTACAGTGTGTTTTTAGAAATAGTATGGTACATAAAACATCTTATGCTACAATCAGACACTTGTTTACAGTCAATATATGTAAACATGGAAATGAGAAATGAACAACAATGAAATACAAGATTTATAATTAGATATACGATAACAGTCAAATTTTTTATTACTATAAATTCATCTACAGACTAGAATATGAAGAAAGCAGTCTTCTGGGATTTGGCACCGTGTATATGTGGTGTTAACAGACGTTTCGGAGGAACGTATCGCCTCCATCTTCAGAGTGGAAGAAAAAATATAAGAAATCTGCAAGCGAAGAGACCGTGAGAACCGGCAAAAGCAGACTGGATCCAGTGGTAAACAGTGGTTGCGAGAGATGATGGTAATAACAGCGGTACCCATTAAGTAATAGGCAAACACTGCATCAGACAACAGTGGTGCCTATTACGTAACTGTTTTCCCATTGTTCGGCTTAGGGTTTATAAGGGAATTACACAGCCGCCGAAGACAGTTGTCAAGGCAGCAGCCTACGAGTTGAGTTGGAATCTAGCCAGCGGAGAGTTACGAGTTAGCCAGGCAGTCAACCAGTCAGTTGTAGTCTAGTATTTGTGATACTGTCGATGGCAGTAATTGTGAGATTGTAAACTGTGCGATTGTAAGGACGAATGTGCAATAAAATTCGCTATATCCAATAAGGCGTGGAGCAGATCATGTTCTGAGCCTTGAGGAATTCCATGTTGAACTTTGTCCCAGTTAGTAGAAACATTTTCATAGTACCTGAGGATTTCATTTTGACTCTCTTATTTTTTGCTTCTCAGATATGCAGTGAACCATTTCCATCTGTTCCTTAATATGGGAGTTTGGCCATGAGTATGTCATGATCTATACTGTCAGGTCCCTATAGTTCTGTGTCAGTAATACAAATAAGTTAGGATGTAGGATGTTAATCATCAGTAATCAGATATGTAGCAGTTACAAGTAACACTGCTATATATTTATATGTGCATATAATGTGGTTTATTCAATTATATTCTGGGAGGATTAAATCAAGTATGAGATGGGTGGGGGACATAGCATGCATATGAAAAAGCCAAGAGACCACATAGAAGAAACAGGGAAATGGGAAATTAAATCTTAGAAAAAGCGATATGATGATGCAAAGTGGATTAAACTAGCTCAGGACAGAGTCTAATGACACATTTCTGTAAAAATAGCAGACTTGTAGCTTCCTTAGAGAAATCTTGGATATATGAATAACTACAAATTCCTCATAGAAGCTCTAGTACCATGGAGTTTGTCAGCTTAATACCACTTTGACATTAAACGCTACTTCCCTTCTGGTCACATAAACTCAACGTATTACCTATAATAAATACATACTCCATCTTACAGTCAGAAATGATGGATGCGTAGAGTAGGGAAGTCTGTTTGTTGGTTTACTAATTTATTTAATGTGACTTTCATCAACTGTATATCTATTGCTGAATATGAGAATGATTTATTAACACTGTCTTGACGCTGTCCTCCTGCAGTCTTGTGTGCCCCCCCTCCTCAGGCACACAGCTGCGACTTTTGGTTATCTGTGGCATCGGGCCTGATAGTGGGCATGCAGCAGGCCACCGGAACGTTGTTTCTTGACTTTGATGCGGGTGACAGATGGAGAAAATTTTAATACAAACTGAAAATGTGGGCAGGCAGACTCACCTCGACATTGTCATCTCGTTGAAAGTACATAGTTCGCTGTGAGCGATACGGCCTGTAAAGAAATTTTTAATTTCATGAGCAACAAATTCAATTATACTGACTTAGGCTAACAATCATATTATACCACATACAAATTATTCGACTACGGCGGTAGAAGTATTTGGATTTTATGGAAATAATAGATGAGTAATGAAAATGAAAAAAGAGCTTGTACTGACGCCTGGAATCTTTGAGCGTTCTTTGTCTTGGTTCTGCGTTGTTTTTGTAAACTGGGGGAGTTTTTGTTATATATATGGTTGATATGTTCTTTTTTATTGTTTTATATTATGAATGCCTCGACTTGTTCCTGTGGGAATGGAATGTTTGTTTTTTGATCTGTGACTCATTCTATATCCAACGGTTGTTTCTATGCCTGTATCTGGACTATTTTGAATTGAATCGAATAAAAAAGAACTGTCATATCACAGATCTTACTTGGTGTTTTTGACGTTAAAGCAACGGCCAAAACACGTTCCCATGATAAGCCAGACCAATGGTCCAGCAGACTTTTGCAGAGCCTTGCAGCACCATGGAAATTTAAATTAAAATAGTATTTTAAGCCGCACCCATACTAACGTATAAAATTAATTTCTTCCATTTTCAAACTTGCGACTGTAGCGCCACCGGTTATAACGCGGTATTTCTTTATAACATTTTTCAGATTTTCATTTGATAAAATGTATGAGAATTTAACGGTACAGTATTTGCAAATGGAGACTAGGTGTTTGTGGCGTTGTTGACTTATATAGAGAAATGTCTGACAGTGATGATGATTGTCCACGATTATCAACTGAGGCATTGCAAGCCCTTCAAGAATTTTATGTTCAGCAAGCAGAAAATGACGAAAAATTGCGCAGCCTTCTTGAAGGGAAAGAAGTTTCGCCACAAAATATCCAATTTCCTGAAGACTGGGTATGTGTGTATAGTATTTTGTGGCTCAAGATTTCAAAATTGTTGGTCACATGAACGTAACAATTGCTTAGTGAACCATGGCAGTGAGAGTACCACTCACACCATGGCTTGTGGACATATATCCCTATAAGTAATTCTGTCTAGAGGTTTAAATTAGTTCAGAAAGTTGTATTATGAAATATTCACTATATATGACCGTTTCAAACAATATAATTATGGTTGATTAATCCTGTATTGGAAACACATAGAGAAATGATAGTCTGTTTTATGGGCTGCAGTTATCAGAATTATATGCACTGTGAGGATTTTTGTATCTATCTAGAAGAGTCTGTTTTGTTTATCAGAATATAAATTTATGTAATGTACGCTATTCAGAACCGATTTTCTAATAATGCAGCAAAACGCATTTTATGGGCATTGTGCAAACATTTAATGTTGTTTCAAAATTATTAATTTCAGCAACTTAGCCAATTTTGGTATGATGATGAAACAGCAGAATATCTTTCGAGAGAAGCACTTAGAGCTTCAGGTCCTACAGGAAAGATAGCATTGATATCCTGTCCAACACTTTATAACAAACTGAAATCCAAAGCGCACAGTAATCAGGGTATGTAACACTGGAATTTATATTCATTTACTTTATCATGTGATTGAATGGCTCAGTCTCCTAATATATATATATATATTTTCCTTTTCAGTGACTCTCTTTGAATTTGACAAGAGGTTTGCCATTTATGGGGAAGATTTCATTTCATATGATTACAATGCTCCTTTGGATATTCCCCGCCATTTTCATGGACAGTTTGATGTTGTTGTAGCAGATCCTCCATTTCTGTCAGAGGAATGCCTAATAAAAATTGCAGAAACTGTGAAGTTCCTTGCCAAGCACAAAATTATATTGTGCACAGGTTTGTAATTGTTGCAGTTTCATTATAATTATTAGTACATACAAAATACAGATTCTAATACTTAATTTGAAGTGGGGGAGAGAGTTCTCCTAATTTTATTGTTCTGTCTTCTTCTTCTTGGACATGGTTCTTCATTTAGTGTAGAAATTTTGAAATGCAATGCAGAATTTTAAACGATGGTATTGATACTGGTATTTATTTTGAGTGATTATGATCATTGTATTTTAATGGGGCACCAGTTCATGCTCATTTTAGTGATACAGGAACAATGAAATTCTAGTACAATTAAAGCAATATAGTGAAAATTGCAAACGCACTCAAACTTTCACTTAGCAGTGTATTTACAATTAGATTCTTAATTTAGTTTTTGAATAAGTATATGGGAACATCTGATTCGTTTTTTAAGATAAATTATGGCCCTTATCCAAGTAACAATGTAACAGAAGTTCATTCTGTTTTATTTTTTATGCTCAGGAGACTTTCGATGACTAAGAACTGTGTATGTATTAGGCTGCATATTAACGTTCAAGAAGAAGATAGTTACTGATATTTTAATGCTTTGTTTTCTAGGTGCTAAAATGAAATACTTGGCCATGATGATGTTGAATGTCAGAAAATGTGAATTTGAGCCACATCACAAGAACAACTTAGCAAATGAGTTTTACTGTTACACAAATTATGATACTGTTATTGACACTGAATAATTGTAATGTAAATGAATTTATTAAATATAATGTTCAGCATTTATACTGAAGTTTGTATGTAGTTATGTGCCGTGAATTTCTCATACAGGATGCATTGTGCCTTCAACTATTTTTTCAGTGTTGCCAACAATTTTGAATGAGGTAAACAACTGTAGAAATGTCTGAGGAAGAAATTGAACTACGAGATTTGGTGGCACAAACTTTAGAAAATAATGGAGTATTATCAAGAATCCGGGTATATAAGCAACGAGTTTTATGTTATTACGTCATATTTAGTGAATGCATAGGAATTTCGAAAGGGTATTCTGTTTGCAGTGTGCTAAAATTGTTATTTTTTGAATACATATTTTACGTAAAGGAATTTAACAAATGAATGCCTTAATTCAAGACTAGTGTAATATTTCAAATTTCAATTTTCGAACAGCCAAAGAGTATGAAGATATAAGGAAATTTGGCATGTTACTTCAGTAAAGTCAGGACGTGAAATACCAATGCTGCTTTTCCATTTAATGGTTGAAACAGTTGACTACCTCTTGATACTCTTACAGATTATGAAAATCAGAAACTCATATTAATTAAACACAAATTGTTCACAGGCCGAATTACGAGCAAGTGTCTTTTTAGCACTAGAAGAACAGGAATCTGTTACAGTAAGTTAGCAATATGGATTGACATGTATTGGCATTTGAATTTACTCTATGTGAGTTGGTGAATTTAATTTATGTGTTGCAGGATACTCCTGAGTGCATAAATACACATTTAAAAGAATTTCTGAGCTCTAATGAAGGTTCGCTTGTCACATGTTTAGTCCGTGAATTTCTGGAATTTTTTCATTTGGATTTTACTCTGTCTGTGTTTGACCCAGAAACAGCTCAAGGAAAGTACTATAATTATGGTGGAAGATCAAAATTGACTAAAGATTTACAGTTAGAGAATTTGAATGGTATGTGTAACAACAGCTTTTTTGCTTGGAATATGAATTATGATTTTAATTTGGTGTTGGAAGATTACTGTGCAGAATTTCAGATTGCAGACTTAATGATATTTATTTACAGGTAAAAAGGGACCATTATTAGTACAGATACTACACATAGCCCTCACCCAAAATGATCATTCTTCTAATGCAAAAAAGGTAACTGTGTTTATTTTAAAGATTCATTAAACACAGAATTACAGAAAATTTAGCCTTAGTTTTACCACACATGTACACATTAAGATGCATACACGAGGATAATTTATATTTGTGACAGTATTAGAATAGTATTATCAGTTATTATGCTGTCACACTTTTGGTTGAATACTAATCTAGGTAATTGTCTTTTATCACAGTTTCTATAAGAAACATAATGGCTATAATCACTCCTTTCCCAGATCATAAATGTGCCCATGTAGTGCACTGTCCTAGGAGGAAATAAAATATTCCTGTAAGCCAGTTCATAATTTTCAGAATCGTTTCAGGAGTATCATAGGAAAACAAGTTATAGCGAAAACACTATTAAGGAACCATAGGTAGAGCTTCCATGTTTCCAAGTTTATTAGTCAGCTCTCTGTACATTAGTATATTGTAGCATGGAGATGTTGCTAAGTAATTACTGTAGATAACACCTATTGCTAGGCAAGATTCCTAACTGCACCAATCGACTAACTTGGAAGGATTCTCTACGTGGTCCATGCAACAGCTGCGTGACACAACACTAGAACTGTTGGAAGTGGTGTTTTCCATGCAGTCTGTGCCACAAGTGTTCATTTAAAGAAAGACTCTGGTTGTGGGTCTCAAGGGGCTTGACACCAAGACGAACTGATTGGCAGTAAACCACCAGTAATAAAGTAAATCTGATTTAGTTGTGATATATTTGCCAGCCAGTAAGGACAAGCACATTGAAGCTGAGGAAGCTACAGCATTGGAAGCCGTTACCAGGCGACAACTGGTGAAGATATAGCAGACTAAGAAGACTTAGTGTATGCTTTATTGAATCGTAAAATGTATGAAATAGTGACAGCATTGTAGTTACGATCTGTAAGGGTTCAATAAATTCAATTGCCAATCCAAACCCTTTCTATAGTCACACTCTAACATGTGACAATATTATGCCAGGGTAACCACATAAAATATTTTGGTGTGATAAGTACTGAAATTTAATTTTTGGAATATATTTGATGTGTGTATATATATATATACATACACACACACACACCATATTCTCTGGTGTATGACACTTTTTCATGAACAGCTTACAATCCTAAGTTATAGCACGGCTTCTTAAAACTTTTGATGTAAAAGCTGGATAAATCTTATATATATATATACAATGCAGACTCTAGTGTACAAGAATTAAAATGTAAGGTACTGACATACTAATGTGTGACCCATGGAATTTTTATGGATTAATCCTGTGATGCATTCTTACAATGTTTATTCACGAAAGAACATCATCCCAGGAGACGACATTCTTCATAGTCACTGCCGTGAAAATCTCAAATCTTACAGAATTAGGAAAATTACAGTTCAGTTTTTGGCAGTAAATATTTTTGGACATTTACAAAACGTTCTCATAGGGATCCTTGTTCAGTTGACCCTGCCAAATAAACTGAGCCAAGTAACACACCAGATGGTGCCTGAGTGTTTCTTGTTATGCCACTTGCCCAGTTTCCACATGCTCCACGTTTTGGATACATTCACACACTGCCAGATCAACAAATTTCTTTTTGTAGTTGACTGCCAAATGCAGGATGCCTATGTCTTCCAAGTCCATCTTGAATGTGTCTGAATGAATGATGCGAGCTTTCTTGAACATTCTCCACAGGGGTGATAATATGTGTACTAGCACTTTGATACAACATATTCACTAAGAAATAGTTTTTAAATTTTACAGTTACTTGGGTCATCCATGAATATGCAAGTACAAATGTGTAATCTTTTGTGACTCTAAAATGCACAACGCCTCTGTCAACTGACACGATTCATTTTGAATTTGTAAAGGAAATGTAAAATCCATAGTATGCTTTCTTTTTCAGGAAGAAAACAAAGCAAATAATGGAGAGAACACAGAAACATCCTCTGCAGTGCATAACCCAGCAGTTCAAATTAACACCTTATTGAACAGTAACACTCCAAACACCAACATATGGGACAAAACTTCAGCCCCACAAAATATCACTTTGTTGCGAACTGAAGTTGTAACAACTAAAGAAAGTTCTAGTAACTTAACAACTGAAACAAAGTCTGCCAGTTTCACAGCAGAAGCTTCAAAACTATCAACAGACATAAATAAAGTGCCCAAAATGAAGGACATTCCACTGCCTGCAGTAGTAGAGGATATGTCTCCAATATCAGAAGCTGAACATGAAAGTCATGACAGTAAAAATGCAAATAGGAGTAAGGCAGGGCCATTAGAAACTACACCTCATAACTCCCAGACACCAGAGCAGTCACTGACTCAGTGTAAACCTGAGACACAGGTATGTTTTTATATTACCTGGGAGCAATAACGTAGAAACATTCAAAATTAAGCCCTGTAAATTGCAGTTTCAATCAGTATCACACACTGTCATCATTTGTAAAAATCTTATGCATATTCTTGCAAAGGGATTAGGCAACGCTATTTAGAAACTGTTCCACAGAGTATGTAGAACAGATTTTTTTCTTCAGTTTAACCTTTCAAAATTTGGAGAGTATGGTACATGAATTCTTCAAATTCTATGGATCTTTATGTTTAAACTGTACATTTGTATCCATAGGCTGCTCTGAATTCTGACTCTTCACAAAACAATACCAACATGTCTGACTATAAGAAGAAACAGCCTCATCAAACCAATAAGCCAGATGTTGAACCTGTTACAAGAGCACGAACCAGTACGCTTTCATCTCTAAGCAATTTACCGCCTTTAATTGGAATTAACCATCCTGTGAAACAAACTGCTGGATCCCTTTCAGGGATCAATCAGTCAAAAGATATGCATCAAATTAAAGCAATGATTGATATAGGATTGGGTATGTATGCACNATGCATTGTTCAGACAAATTTTAAACCAGGCTTCATTATTACTACTGTTGTAGCAGCAGCATAATATTGGTGGTGGTGATTGTAGCAGTAGTCCTTTCTTTAAAGACTAGCCTTATCTTACTAAAATTGCAAACAAATTATTCTGAATATATTCAAAACAAAAATGAAATATTTCTTTGTAAAGGATGACTGTGCTAAACTATACATGTAACCCCATTTCTTCATGCAAAATGAAATGTACTGCCACAAGTTGACATTAATATAAACAGCCTGTTTCAAAATGTGTTTGCATGCTGGCCATGCACAGTCTCTCTCATCCTACTGTATGTTGCAACATTTTCCCCCCCCAAAAGTATGACAGACCATAGACAAGTCTTGTTTAACAATTTAACATGAACTGAAATGTAAATGATGTTTCTGTTGTTATTCAGAATCTCAAGATAATTATGATGAAGATTTTAACTCATCGGTAAGTGTTAGCGGCAAAGAGTATGCTGCTAATCAAGGCACTGACACCGAAATTGAAGAAGAATTAGGATCTGGGGTTGAAGATTTACTGAGTTCAAATTCTGTGGTGAGTTCATGTTCATACATTAGAAATAGTAATATAACAGGTAAGGTAAAAGTAACATAAAGGTATCCGTGTAACAGGCCGTGGAGGCCCATAGGGTTGCGAGATGTTGCGGTTCCCACATTTTCTAGACAATCGGCTCATAGATGGCGGTAAGGTTGTCAGCCTTACGCGCAGGCCACCCTATACTCCCCAGGAAGATACCTGGTACTCATTTCTGTTAGAGGCTGAGTGGACCCCAGGACCATAGTGTGACTGGAAGGATTAGGTCAACTGAAAAAAAATCCACCTCATCAGGACTTGAACCCACAACCTTCCAGCTTGTAGCATAATGCCTCAACCAACTATGCTACCATCTGCATTTAACATGAATTTCATTCAGTGGACAATTTTAGACAAATTGCAAATATTTATTTCTGGTAGAACAGCCTGTATTTGAGAAATATCAGGTCTGCACCTTGGCAGGTTCCTAGCTATCCTGCCTACAGATTTCTCATGGTTTCTCTAAACCCTTGGCAAGGGAATGGACTGCATCTTGTTTAGAAAGTATCATGGCTCCAGTACGTCCCTTTTAAAGAAATGTACAGTGACACAGCATCAGTTGCCCTCAGAGACTTGGCGCACACAACCACGAGAGATCCATGCATATACACACAATCTGAATCCTCATTATATGAAAATTGTAATTACATACATTAATTGTAATTTATGCATGCTACATTTGTAAAGTACTGTGCATTCAATCAGTTCTGCCTTAATGCATAGGAATCCATCATAATACAACTTACAAATATGTTCACATCATTTTTCATTATGATCAGTCTTCACATATTCTGTACATGACATGAAAAATAACAAACATGTTATTTCATTCCACTGCAGAAAACTTCGGTTTTGATTACATTCTGCATGGACTTAGAACAGGTACTTTACCTGGAGATGCAACTGGATTTTATGTGTGTCTTGTCAAATGTACACCACATTAAAAACTGTTTCAGACATTTATGTGTAATAATATTTATCGTCTATACAAATTATGGATACAGTGACCTGTTTTACATCCAAATCCCAGATATCATTAACTGCCATGACCTCTCCTCCTGATATAGCAATGCTACAAATGAAATGGGAAGATGACAGATGATTATATTGAATCATGTGTAGGTCATGATTTCTGAAAGGATACATTCACCTATGCACACTGAGAAAAATTATGAAACAATTCAATTAAGATTTGAATTGGGCCTTTCTTCTGAAGAAGTTGAGTGTTTTGGACATGCAGTTTCGAAGGCCCACTGTAAAGGATGTCCTTACTTTCAGACTTGCATCATTTTGAAAGCCACAAATTTGGAACGTTATTTTCCCATTATGAGTTTTAAGAGGGTACAAATGACCAAAGCATATCAGATGATTTGTTCTGCATTTATGAAACTCTGGAAAGACAGGTGCTTGCTAATTAACTATTTTGAACGGGTGGTTCTGTCAGTTCTGTCAACGTTATTTTCCCTTTATGAGTTTTAAGAGGGTACAAATGACCAAAAGATATCAGATGATTTGTTCTGCATTTATGAAACTCTGGGAAGACAGTTGCTTGCTAATTAACTATTTTGAACGGGTGGTTCTGTCAGCTGCATGTCTAAAATGGATATCGATTTTTAATTGGTTTAATTTCAGTTTACAAAAACTTGAAATGATGTTCAGTATTCATGTAGAATAACATGGAAAACTATGTTTCTTTTTATACAGTTGGATGATATGACAGCTGATGCTACTCTCTCAAACTTGACAGGCATTGCAGATTACATTGAAGACGTGAAGTAAGAGCAGTGTTTAATGATGGAAGTTTCTCCAGCTGCAAAAATGTGCCTACATATTTTAATGTTCAGATATTTAATTTGTATGAATTTTAGCACTAAGCCCTGTAACTAATAATTACAGTTTAAATTGTATATTATTACTTTGAAATTCAGTGTTGTATTTTTTTAAAATTCAGTCAATTGTGGTTTCTCTTTATAAATAAAATTCATTTTACAATACTTAATGTATAAACTGCAATTTGGATCTTATTATTGTAAAACAGTACAGTTTAAACAAAGTTTCTTTCTCCTTTTTTGCACTTTCAATGGTACAAAAGACACTTTGGTCTATGGGATACCAAGTTGTATCCTGCCACAGTATAAACCATTGTCAAATTCACTAATAACCACTACTAGTTACAACACTTTTATTCTTTTTAACTTCTATACACGATGTCTTTCTCGTTGCAACCTGTTACTGTAAGCTTTTGAAACTAAATTCCAAGCATCCATATACCGATCCATACACATTGCCACACATTTCTGTAAACAAAACCATAGATTAAACATATTGATTACAAAAAATATGTTTATAAAAAATACATCTAACTTCATGCGGCTAAGCCCTTATTGAGATGCCTCCAGCTGTGCAGTTACTCACGGCCTTCCCAAAATTTTATGGGACCCAAGGTTCATTACTGTGTTCACAAGAGCCCTCCACTGCTTCTATATTTCCATGAAATTGTGTTTTGTCTCTGTAAACGGCCCAGGGGAAACTTACTTTGTGGACGAGCCTTGTACTTCAGTGTAATGTAAAAAAAGTATTAAATACGCCATGAGATGACATAAAAATGAGGTTCAATAAATTTTAATACAGGTAGGCCTATAGTATTATGAAGGTACAGTATTACAGTACTACTTTTAATAAAATTGTCTTAACTGGGTTTTTGATTAATCGTGATTTCCATCCCCACCATTATCCTGGATAATCGAGAGTTGAGTGTAATAGCTTATGGTACTTAGAACATAATATTTCACCTCCTGCTTGAACCAGTTATGCCAGAATTTGATCACTACCTGGAAATTTATACCTTTTCAACTTTGCAATAGCAATTTCAACCTCAAGAGGGCAAGAATCAGGTACTGACAGCTCAGCTTAATGTATTTCTATCTGCCTAACATCACTGACCCTATGTGCATTCAATAACAGAGAAGTAGTTCTTCCACCTATTCAAAATGTTGTGGGAATCTGCAAGCAGATCACCATTCTCAACCTTCAGTATATAAGTTATTTCTAGGTTGGTAACCCCTCTTAAATTCATTCATTCATTCTTCTATATAGGTCTCTTAATGTTCTTGTTCTTACTGTCTGTTGCAAGCTAATTAATGTTGTCTTTCAATATTCCCTCTTTTTATTGCTGAAATGCCTGATGGCTTCATGTCTTCTATTGTTCTTATTATCCCCATTTATTTCACCTGCATCCTGTAACCATTGCAATTCAGCTCTTTTTCCTGAACTCTAATAATTCTGAGCATCCTTTTTTGAACCATGGCTTATGCTTCTTAAATTCATAATAACCTAGACTCTCTTTGGTTGAAATTTTGATATTCTCTCTAATAGTTCCCCAAGCTATATTAATATCCACCTGTGTCAAAGTTTTCCAAAGCTGTGAACCTATTTAAGATTTCAACATGATACTGCTCTTTACCCTCTACCTTGTTTAATTTCTCAAGACTGTCTCCAGTCTCCCTCTAACTTCTGTCACCATCATATAGTGTTCAGTATTACAGTCTGCTGCCCTGAATGATTGGACATCAAGTACACTTGAATTCCATCCTATATCTATCAAAATATGATCAATCTGGATGTGACCCTTTCCATCAAGAGGTGTCCAAGTAAATTTATGAATGTTATGATATGGAAACATTGTACTTTTGACAGTCAAGTTTTCAGATGAGGGGAAGTTTATCATTATTAATTCCGTGTAAACAGTCACTCCCAATTGTTTGTTTGAAAATGTCTTTCCTACCTAGTTTGGCATTGAAATCTCCTAACAAATTTTCATATGGTATTTAGGGAATTTATCGAATACACATTCTAGTTCCTTGTAGAAGCTGTCCATATCATCAATTTTGTCCTATGTTGGGGCATGAACATTCAGAACAACGATATCATATCACTGACATCTTATCACTAACAAACTCGACTCTCTTTTAACTGCTGATATGATTCTCTTAAGCACAAAAACAATTGTATCTAATTCAAGATTCTCATTCCCCTTTCCATATAAAGAATGTATAAACCAGCAGGAACTTGTATAAGATTAGACTTGAAGCTCATTTTTCAATATCGGGTATCAGATTGCAGTGTGGAAGTACAAAGATCAAGAATAATTTCTGGATCTGACAGATGAACAGGTATTGAAAACATTATGCAATAAGTGAGATTTGAGATCCTCATTGGTGTTGCTATGAAGACCATGCTATGAGTTGTAATCCATTTCTCCATCAGATTTGACATTTACACAATGGAATCACCCATCAAATAGTATAAAATATTAAATAAAAATGTACAACATAACAACGGGTCTCTGAATACCACATCAGCCATTGTGTATATAATATGTCCATATAAACATTACATATACATTTAACTCTCGATTATCCAGGGGCGGATCAACCGGTTTGCGGCTTAACTGGGGCTTCTTTGAGGCTTATATGTTGTTTAATATTCATTCACTTTTGTTTCACATGGTGAGTTGTAACACTATTTTCACACTAGTGTGAACCGAGCTTTGCATTTTTTGGTCCCGTTATGCTAACACAATGTTCTAGGGTAGGGGTGAAAGAATGCAAGGATTTGTGGAAAGTTTCAAGGACAGATACACCGCCCCAGTTGGTCTCTTTGTATCGATCTTCAAGTGCGTTAGCAAAATGTCAGGGTGTAAAGGAATCGTGGTGTAAGTATTCAGCAGAAACTTGAAATTATCAATCAGTTGGGGAAAAAAACGTGTACTTAAACAATTAGCAATGCAATACGGTATTGGAGAACAAACTGTTCGTGATTTGAAAAAGCAAAAGAATCAATTAATTTCCTTTGCTTCATCTTCTAATTCAAGTGGAATGATGAAGAAAAAACCATGAAAAAATCCAATTCATGGAAGCAACTAATGCCTTTCATCACTAATGAAGATGATGAAATCCATGGATTCACTGAAAATGAGATAGCCATAGAATTGACAAAATTGGCTAACCAAGTTCATGGTGGTGAAGAAGTTAACGAGGAAAATATAAGAGAGTGGTTTGACTGTGACTCGTGTGAGCCGGGCTTTGAAATGTTAAGCAGTGACGAAATCGTAAGTTCAGTGGGGGTGCAGCCAGAAGAGCGGGAAGAAAGTGAGAATGAGGAAGAGGTGAGCAGTGCTGCTAGTAAGAAAATATCACATGGTGCTGCTCTTAGTCATTTAGAATCCTTACTAGAATATCTTGAGAGTGAAGAGAATAGTTTATTAAGTGACAAGCTAATATTACGTACGCTTCATACGGATATACGTAAGAAGGAAAATGCTGCGAAAAAGCATACAACAATATTAATTTTTTTTAAGTGTTAAGTGTGAATATTCGTAAAAAGTGTTGGATGTTGTTGAACACTGTGATTGAAAAAACTAATTCATACTTCAGTGTAATGTAAAAAAAGTATTAAATAGGCCATGAGATGACATAAAATGAGGTTGAATAAATTTAAATACAGGTAGGCCTATAGTATTATGAAGGTACAGTATTACAGTACTACTTTTAATAAAATTTGTCTTAACCGGGTTTTCGATTAATCGTGATTTCCATCCCCACCATATTCCCGGATAATCGAGAGTTGAGTGTATTACGATTACAACTGCCAACTTCCAAATACCATCACATATATAACTTTTAACTGTACTTTTGATTATGTAAATGGTTATTTTAAGATTTCGAAGGTCGCGGGTTCAAGTCCCGATGAGGTCATTGGATTCTTTTCAATTGACCTAACCCTTCCAGCCACACTATGGCCCTGGGGTTCACTCAGTCTCTAACAAAAATGAGTACCAGGAATGAATTAAATAATTTTCTTGGGGAGTAAAGCGTGGCCAGCGCGTAAGGCTAACAACCTTTCCACCATCTTTTAGCCGATTGTCTAGATAATGTGGGACCCTCAACATCTCACAACCCTATGGGCCTTCACGGCCTGGTACAGGGATAGCTTTACTTTACTTTTATTCACTCATATAATTTTATACCATTGTATACACTTGGAAGTTTAGTACTGTATTCTATAGAGATATTGGGTTTTCGGACTTTATCCATCGTCCTGGTTTTAAGACAACTACGAAAAACACGACGTTTCGGAAACTGGATCTGTTTCCGTCCTCAGGTGAGGGAAAACACCTATTCTGTTGGGTCCCTTAGAAAAAGCTAGCCTAAATCACTGGACCAATCAGAATCCTATAGTAACTAACTGTATTCTATATTTGACATGCAATTCAATAATGAAAAGTTTAATGTATTTGCCTGATGATGGCCTCTTGAAGGCCGAACCATGTAGCAAAAGTATCTCCTAGAGCTACTTACACATATTATTGATTGTTGTGTTACGACGGTTTTCGGTAAGAAATAATATATGAAGACCACTGTCTTTTGGATGTAATACTGTATAGTTTGGTTTCGAAGAATGTGCTGCCTGCAGCTTCAGAGGACAGAATTACATTCCTGAGGACAGTAGTCTTCATTATGTAACTCACTTCATGGATTGCACTCTTCAGCAATTATTATTCCAGTAATTTGAGAATGGGATACAGGGGATATGTTAATGTGGGATATGTAAGAGACTGATCCAACAGTCCAGTTTGAAAACCTCAAGGAAATACGCCCAATGGAAATGCCTAGATGTAGACTGGTAATGATAAAGAAATGGCTTGGACAGGGGGCAATGGTGGGCCTTTAGGATGATGTACTTATCAAATTCCATGACAACTGAGGCTCTTTCAAGCGGTATATATATATTCTCAGTGAAAGAAGACTCAGGTAGATGACTCAATTTTCAATTCACACCAACAGTAAAGACCTAATATTGACATTATTTAATTTATTAAGGGATTAAAGTGGGGTGTGTGAAGAGACAGGAGTGAATCTCTCTCAAGTAACTATATAACAGTAATTAGAGAGGTTTAATTTTAAAAGACTGTCAAAATTGTCCACTTCTGTATTTTGTGAACCAACATCCCAGAAAACTACTATTAATGTCATTTAAGAACCGTGATTTATATTTTTTTAATTCTATCCTCTCAACAGTTCATCTTATAATGTGCAGCCTTCTGAGTTTGCAGAAACATTAGATTAAATATTAATGATCCTTAATTCCCTAGATTCCCCTCCCCTCATTCCTTACAACTGCAAAAATTATCATTTGCCACCGCATATCCATATTGACGTCTGAAAGAGCTGGACAGTTTTAGCACCACTGCCTATGGCAAAGACATCAGTTAAAGATATTCGCGTCAGTGGGAAACACACAAACAGTGAAGCAAAATTTAAATTGCCAGTGTTAGGTATAACTATTCAATACTGCATAACATACACTCTTAACAATGTATTTGTGGTAGCAATAACCTTACAATGCCATATTTACGCCAAGAACATTACAGAAGATGCAGTTCCTTTAAGGTTTTCATATTTTCTAAGGAATTTACATTATCTGATCTCGGTCATTCGTTAGTGTATTATTCAAGACTACCATAATACCTGTTCAGAACTATCCAGCGATGTACCTGGCTTATTTATACACTTCTTGAAACATTTTTCCGTCATTTTCTGAAAAGATATTTTGAATTTAATACATAATACAACACACTGAAAATGGTTTTTCTGAACTGTGATCCCTTGAATACCACAAATTCTGAACTAGACAGAATATACCGTAAGTAACTCTTGTGCGTTGGCAACTGCAATTTGTTGTTTTACTTGTTCCATCAATTCATCCTTTTGCACGCCGGAGAGTTGCCCACTTGATAACGTGGATTCCATTGCAACATATACCACAAGCCGTTAAAAGCACTACAAAGGCCAAGATAAAAGTATTCTTCTCCGCCGTGCTACCCTTGTGCAGAGTTCTGAATGTTGTGAAGTTGTGAACGGTGTGAAGCCTCAGATCCCTCAGATTCTCAGATTGCTTCAGATTAACAGCGTGAGCCGAGTGTTAAAAAAAAAACACTCGAAGAGCGCTTTTATCAATACGACCAACTTACGAACAATTGGGAAATTTCTCAGTACAATTTTATTCCACTCTTCCAAAAATATAACTACTAGCCTTGCGCAGCGATGAGAAACCTCTGGCCTCTGATTAACAACGTGATCCGAGAGCTAAAAAAAGGAACACTCGAAGAGCGCTTTTATCAGTATGACCAACTTACGAACGATTGGGAAATTTCTCAGTACAATTTTATTCCACTATTCCGAAAATATTCATTACACTGCCAATTTTAACATTAATATACTGTGTATTCTGCTCACAGAGTGTATTTACGCCCTTTTTATGATTCTCAGAACAACCATCGTGGCATTATCACTTCCCGACTTCGATTTTTCTCCCCAAAACATCAAAACGGCGAAGAATGCCCAGCTTGCAGACACTCATGCAAACAATGAATATTTTAATAGCATTAACCAATTGGGCTTTTAATGGAGATGCTGAGTAATTTGTGTGTGATATGTACCTAACTTTCAAATATTTAGATTAACTTGCATTCACATTGACAGATCAATATAGCATATCAAAATCCAGACAGCACAACAGCAGCATCTTTTTAAAATTTCATTCCTTAATACATAAAAAATAAGTGGATTTAGTGAGCCTACTTTCTTAATTGATAATCCCACACCAATCTCACATTTCTAACATGCCAAACGTTGTCACATAAAGGTAAACAGTGCTGGAGGGTAATATTAACTAAATATTATGTCTACACTGCTTATACACTTCAAGTATCCTCCTGACTATTCTTTGGGCCATTTATTTTATGAACGCTTATCTAATCTAGCTGCATGTTTCAGATGAGTTTAAAAACATACTCTAAGTAGAACATGTACAACAATGTATTTTCTCCTTATAATGAAGTTATGCTTTAAACTTATTATTAAAAGTTAACCATTAATTTGAAACAAGACAATAACTTAACTTGAAACTTTAATTTTGTGAATCTGATGACAAATTAATTTTCCCATACAGAGAAATCTGTATTTTCCAAACTGTGGGCACCCAGATGGGACAATAAATGTTAAAAGTGACTGCAAATTACAAGCAATTCGGAATTCACTTGTTTATGTTCTATCTGCGAGTACATTTTATTGGAAAATACAAGTACCATGAGAGGAAGGAATATATGATAGGAGCTTGACAGACAGAAAGACCTCATGTAACAGATTGTCTTTATTTAGTTTTTGATTCAGTCCTTTAACATCAGCAACATCGACAACTTTTCTTGTGAGTGTTTCTGCCAACATATAAAATCTGCAA